TCCGACAATTATTTTTATTTTTGCAAGATTTTCCAAATTAATGTGTGAGATACAGAAAAAAAACGCGCTAAAATTGTATGTTACTTTATTGGTTCGGTTGATACAAAGAGAAACAAGGTTTTTTTAATCAAAATTTAAAATGTTCTAAAAAGAAGGAAAATTTTTTAAAAATAATTAAAAAATACTTTGATCTTTCCTCTCAATAATAACTTAAGCATTTAGACGCTAAAATTTTGTTTTCATCAACTTTGGCGTCTTTTTCATCATGCTATGCTCTGTTTTTAGCGATCTCGGGAAAATGCCTATTTTAGTAAGTTGCAGGAGTTGGTGAGTGAGTTGTTTCGTTGAAATTGTAGCTTGAATTTCAGTGAAGTTATTTCATGTTAAAGAACTTGAGGTTCTAACTTTTACTTCGCTGCAGTAATGATACAAGCGTCGTGAAAAATCGTTTAGCAAATGCTAGTCGTCGTAAATTCTCACTGACTGGGTTCGCTCGTACCTTCAATTTATATGTTTTTTAATCACGTGATAGGATCCTGAGAGCATTGTTTTTTCATCAGGTCAAAAACTAGCTTGATGTTATTCGGACGTAGTGGTGAGCAGGTAAATTGTTTTTTTTTAATATCTGTTAACCACTTAGAAAGCGCCTTACAAAACTCAGTCTGGAGCCTGAAATGTTTTGTGTTGCTTATTGAGAACAATGTACGTGAAGATATACGAGATAATTTTAATATTTATTGTTCAATGAAAAGTTCAGGTTTACAGAAACATGTATGAAGCTGTGATCCGCTTTTTGCACGAAAATCGACATTGATGAAAAAGTGGTAGCGGACAACTAAATGTAGTTTAAAAGCCATTTTCGAGTATGAAACTTTTTTAAACATTTTTCTTTTCATTTTACCAACAGTTAGATTATTTTTTGTATGGATGTTCAAAGGTAAATAATTCTGAATTAACGCATTTGACTAATCTTCCCTATCAGAAGAATAATGAGGAAGATTTGTAGATGTTATCTTCTGACAACGTCCGTTATTTCCATATAACGCTATATTTCATTTTCGGTGTATACTGACTTGGTGTAAATGATTAAAAGAAAATGCACAAAATGTTAATAAATACGAAATAAATCTTTATATAAAACAAAATGACAGGTGAAAGTTTAAGATTCAAGAGTTTGTTACGAGATACTAGTCCGGTTATGAGGGGTTATACAGTAGAATCCCTGACAACTGGATTAAGAAGACCTTCCCGATATGAAGAATTGGTTACAAAGTCCGGATATATTTAGATTAAAATAAAAAAACTGAAATCAGGTTTAACATTTATTTTCAATATTTTATAGTAAACAAAATAAGCTAATTGTGATTGAAATATAACGGAATTGATTTTAAGGAAAAAGAAATAAATTATGTAATGTTAATGAAAATTCTTTAAATTATGTTACGTATGCAAAACAAATAATGTAACGAGGATTTTTTAATTGCTGTTTCATGACGATTCTTTCTCTTCTAATGTCATTCGCAACTTTTTCCGCATTTCGTTTTGCTTTTATGCTTGAAATTTTTTAAACGAAAGATAATTTTTTTTTAACTCAGCGTGCGTTATTGCAATCGTCATAGCTGAATGCTGGCTTCTTCCATAAAACTGACAACCTTTTCAATAGCTTTTTTAATTTCAGTCCAGGTTTCATCACAATCATGTTTTTTTATTGCCTTGTTCATTGTGACTCCAAAGTTGTTCTTTTCCTCTTATTCTCATCATCTTTTACGCAAATACAAGCCATTAAGGTGAAATAAGCATAAGCAATTATACAAAGTAAATCTCCTGAAAAAAAAGACATTCCAAATCAGTTACATAACACCCACATAGTTCATATATACACATCAAAATCATGTCCGAATATGCGGGATTCCGGATATAAGGCACTCCGGATATGAGGGATTCTACTGTATTAAATATAATTTTAAACGTGTCTTGCCCCCTTGTCTTGGTTGGCAACCAGTCTAGGAGAAAGATAACTGTAAATTCAAAACTGTATGTTGCTCAGGCAGGGCATATACTTGAATTGTAAATAACGTCCTTTTAGTATAGTGCAGTATAAACTATGTGAGTGCTAAATAAATATAAATGGACCTGAGCAGATAGGCAGGCTCGGAAACAATGCAGATGAGAAACTCATAACATCCCTGATGATTATTAGATTCTGCTTTATGCACAGCATGGATTTCAAGGTGACGTTTCAGTAATTTGCACAATTCTCAGTAGGTTACCTTTCCAACTCAATCATATCTACTTTTATTTATCTCTATATCTCCACACAGTCAGCACATGTTTTGTTCTTAATGTAGTTGATTCGTAGAGCAATTTTCTGGATTGCCCAATGCCGGATTAACCTAGTTACAAAAAGATTTAAATGCTTCGGGGTCTGGATTTTCAAGAGTTCTCGCAATAAATAATTTCATGCTGTCTGTTTAAATGAGAATCTTACGATCTGGAAATGTTCATGTTTACATGTTAGGGGAGATAGAGTTTTCATTATTCATCGTTTCAAATTCAAATCTCACCATAGTCAATTTGTGAAAAATACATAAAAACCGTACCCCGTGTTTTGCCAAGGCTTGTCGGTGATGTTGGGTAGGTGGAACCATCGAGAAACTTTGATCGTTGTCAGGCACGAAGTCACAGGGTTTTTTTTTAATCAGGGGGGGGGTGAAATTATAGTCTATGTATTTTTGACCAATACCATCACAGGCTACCGTGCGTAAATAAATGTTATTTTCATTATGTTTTAAGAAAAATGTAAGTGTTACTTTTACAAAATCCAGTTTATTAATAATTAAATTTTCTGATCGACTTTGAAATAATTCATCTCTAGGATAAATATTAGATTTTCAAGAGATTTTTAAATGTGTTTTTTTACATTTTTCGTCCATCATGGCGGCGGTTTGAGGCATCGACGAATAACGAGTGAGCGTTCCAATGTTTTAAAAAATGCTTAAAAGTTTTATTTACATACAGAAATTATTTTTTCTTTTAATATAAATTAACATTAGACTATTATCTTTTAAATAAAACCAAAATTTAACTTTAATGATATTTAAATTATTTAAAATGCGTTTAGCGGAGATTGTTAGGAAATCAGTTGTGGTGCCTACCTCTGTAGTGAGTGCGAAATAATAATAACTCCCTTTACTCACAGTACCAAACTATTCATTACTGTCGAACTCTCCGCCTTGAGCAGAGAAAAACCCGAAGGAGGCTTTGTCGAAGGGCAAAGTTTCGTCCGGGGAGGTAGACAGACCCTGAACCCGCTTATGCGGGTTCTAAGACAATATTTTTGGCCGAGCCTACGGGCTCAGTGATCATACGGTAAACTCGGCCTTGTGCCACATACATTCCTCGTGGTGGTTTTTTTTTTGGGGGGCTGTTAAATATTAACTCCTTTCACTCACTTCAAATTTGAAGGACCGGGGAAGGAGTAGGAAGAATTCGCAAGCCTATGTGAAAATTTCTTTGGGTCTATGAAAATCTTGCAATCACAAAAAATTAACCGGTCAGCCGAGAAGAAGAAAAGAAAGAAGCTAACCTACGTGAAATTCTTTTTTTTAATTAAAATGAGGAGAAAAATTAATCAGAGAAAAGTGTCGAAAGTTGTGTGAAAGGTTTCGTTTCTCGCCTGTGTAAAATTTACTCGTCAATTACATTATCGGCCACTAAACAGCACGCAGCACTTCAAAGAATTTTCTCCCAACAATCAAGAAAGGTAAGTATTTCAAACTATCCTTCTTCGCCTACTTTTGAAACTAGACAAACCATGTATCCGCTCGGTGAACAACGAATACCTTATATATATATATATATATATATAAACCTAGAACAAACCTACCAAGAAAACCTACCAAACCTTGATAGGTTTGTCTTGATCTCTAGGTTTCACCATTGTGCACTTTATTTAGTTATTTTGGGTCTTCGCATCGGGTTTTTTTCTTTGGGCCTTGGACTCGTATGCTGGACGATTCCGTACATGTTCTTGGTTGTTTCTTTTTTTATGCCTTTTCCCCTTTGGTATTGGCTTGTTTATTTGAAAATCAATACACCGAATAGAATAGTTTCTTATACTTATAAGATTTCTATTAATTTAAAATATATATATATATATATATATATATATATATAGTCTTTAATCAGCATTTTTCATTGATACATGTTTCATTGAATAATATAGACATTTTGTCTATTTATTTGCACTGTAAATTTTTTCGTTTGATTTTAATAACATTATGATTAAAAGACGGTCCTTGCATCTGGTTTTTTTTTATGATTTGAGGCCTTGGACTCGTATAGCTGGACGATTATTTTAAAGTGATACCTCAAAAGGAATCCATTTATGGTCGCAAAAGGTAAAACCTGCACTAGAAACATTGTATATAGGGAAGTGCTGTAACGGATGGATTTCATATATACTTTCATACAATAACTTAAAAAACTTATATTATTAAATATTAACCAAAACATTTTGATTAACTTGGGTTAGTTTCTTTTTTATATTCCTCCTTTATACCCCACACCTTAAACGGTGGTAATTGATAGATAGATAGATAGATGTAAACAGACTGAGATGAATAGATTTGTAAACAGAAAATCAATAAACAGACTGAGATAGATTTTCCAGACTGAGATATAGATTTCTTAAACAGACTGAGATAGATAGATAGATTTCTAAACAGACTGAATAATATATATATATATATATATATATATATATATATATATATATATAAACAGACTGAGATAGATAGATAGATATTTAAACAGACTGAGATTTCATTGATACATGTTTCATTGAATAATAGATAGACAAGTTTTGTCTATTTTGTAGATAGATTAAACAGACTTAGATATCGTTTGATAAACAGACTAGATAACATTAGATGATTAAAAGACTGAAAGAAAAGATAGATGAGATAGATAGATAAATTGATACCTGTTCGAGATTTGTCCTAGATTTTAGATGATAAAGACAGATAGATAGACAGATAGATGCAAACAGTCAATAGAGATAGATGATAGATGTAAACAGACTGAGATAGATACAGCCATGAATTTACAGACTGAGATAGATAGATAGATAGATTAAACGACTGTAGCATTTTAAGAGATAGATAGATAGATGAAAACAGATGTAGATAGATAGATAGATTAAACAGACTGATAGATAGATAGATAGATATCAGACTGAGATAGATAGATAGATAGATAGATTTAGATAGATAGATAGATAGATGTAAACAGACTGAGATAGATAGATAGATAGATAGATGTAAACAGAAATAGATAGGATAAAGATGTAAACAGACTGAGATAGATAGATAGATAGATAGATGTAAACACCTGAGCACTAGATGATATATAGAAACATTGTATATATGGATAGATAGATGATAGATGTGTGAAACGGATGAGATTTCATATATATAGATTTCATGATAGATAGATAGATATAACTTAAAATAAACTTAGATAGATAGATTAGATGTAAATATGAATTAAAGGATAATATATTTTTGTATAACAGACTGAAAATAGATAGATAATGATGTAAACAGACTTAAACAATTTTGATAGATAGATGATAAATATGAGATTTCAGACTGGGTCCATAGATAGTCCTCCATTAAATAGATTCTTGGATAGATGGGCAAATCAATTGATCATTTTAATCCCTAATAGATAGATAGATAGATGTGTAAACGACTCACTATACCTAGATAGATAATTCAGACACCTATAAAACAGACTGAGATAGATAGATAGATAGATAGATAGATAGATAGATAGATAGATAGATGTAAACAGATAGATAGATAGATAGATGATAAATGATGAGATAGATAGATAGATAATAGATGTAAACAGACTGAGATAGATAGATAGATAGATAGATGTAAACAGACTGAGATGATAGATAGATAGATAAACAGACTGAGATAGATAGATAGATAGATGTAAACAGACTGAGATAGATAGATAGATGTAAACAGACTGAGATAGATAGATAGATGTAAACAGACTGAGATAGATAGATAGATGTAAACAGACTGAGATAGATAGATAGATGTAAACAGACTGATAGATGAATAAACAGACTGAGATAGATAGATAGATGTAAACAGACTGAGATAGATAGATAGATGATGTAAACAGACTGAGATAGAGATAGATAGATGTAAACAGACTGAGATAATAGATGGAAACAGACTGAAAGATAGATAGATAGATCCGAATAAAAGATTTTTTTTTCGTGTAAAAGATTCTTTTCTTTATAATGTGGGAAAGTTAATGACTCCCCAAATTGGGTTGTGGCCTGATGAACAAAGTGAGACAATTGAACATTATATTAAAAAAAAACACACACACACAATTTATATAAGAAATACAATGCATAACGAGAGAGTGTAGAATTTACGTTCTCCTCAGTTCCCTAATTCTTCACCAGGGGTCTCTCTCCCATGCTATAAATACTGGGCGACCTGTTGCCTCGATCTCTTTATCCCTCAGGCCTCGTGCCGCATTCCACTTCCTGTGGAGGTGAGGTAAATCTCTTTTTCTTCTTTATTTCAGCGACAAGATGTAAGTTCTTAGAAGATCAGCGTTTCCTATTTCTGGAAAACGCTATGAATATTACAAACATTCACCAAAGAACACACAATGTTATGTCTATGTGCCTTGTAATTTGTTTAATACATATTTGTTGAGATTATATATATATATATATATATATATATATATATAATGTCTTCTTTCATGTTCTGTTGGACAAATTAAGTCCGCCAATTTTCATGTAGTTGGATCTTTTAATATTGTACCAGGAGTTACACAGTTGTTTCTAATACAACAACACGTAAATACACACACGGTCCTCTCCAAGAGAATCGAGAGTTGTTAAACACGGATTCTTTTATAGCGGTTAAAAGTCAAAAGATCGGGGACGAAATCCAAATAGTTTGAAATAGACGAAACACTTGCCTGGATTGTGTCCATATTCTGCTTGTATTAGCCGTTTTTTCCTTGCACCATTCAGGCCAGTATGTCTGTTCAGGAAGTGTGCAGAAACACACCACGCCTAGTTTGGGGCCTTATTCATTATTATCATTTTATAATAGACTCTTATTATTACCAACAGCCCTAATCTACCAAAGGGAGATAACCTCTTTTTTTTTTTTTTTTTTTTTCTTTTTTTAAAATAATAAAAAGATAAATAGTAAATCTTTATAAAAGGTAAATATTTTTTTTATATTTTTGTAAATAAAGATTGCTGAGGGAGTGAGCATAATTGAAATAATAGCGGTGGCAAAAACCATCGTTTTGAAACATTGACTTTGTGAGCACAAAGATTCATGCTTGCAAATAGATGTATCAACAATTATTGCTGAAAAAGTCTATCAAGCTTACGATAAGAATGGTGATGGTCAGGATGTTGCTTTGAACATCTCAAAATCATTCGACAGAGTTTGGCATATTCCAGGAATCACTACATTCACTTGTCAGGGGGTATCATCAATTGACCTCACCTTATTGGGTCCTCTTTCAGATAAGCAATATGGCTTTCACTTCTCTAGATGAACTGCTAACAGGTTAATGATTATCATTGAAAGAGTCTATCAAGCTTTAGATAAGAATGGTGAAACTCGGGCTGTTGATTAGGACATTTTGAAAAGGGTTTGGTATACTGGTGTTCTTCACAAGTTGAAGAGGTATGGCATTTCTGGACGAATTTTTTAACTCTTTTAATCATTCTTATCAAATCATGAAATGAAAGTTGTTCTGAACAATCTCTCTTCTAGGTCTTAGCTTTAAAGGTTTGAACATGTAGAACTAAAGAATGTAGTGCGTCTGAATATTTTCCATGGAAATAAGCCATTATTAATTATGAATTGGTTAAGCATCTCACATTGTGGGGTCTTCTGCTCAGATAAACAATATGGCTTTCACTTCTCTAGGTTAACTAATGATAGATTAACAATTATTGCTGAAAGTGTCTATTAAGTAAAGACTTATTAGCTCGTGCCCATATATGGCAGCAGTAATCAATGACGGTGCTTCACTACAATAGGCGTGGCATGGCGGGTCTTAGCCGTGAAGGTTAGAACGGGTGGAACTAAGGATTGTAGTGCGTCTGAACACTTTCCATGGAAATAAGACAGAGCAGTCGCGCCAGCAGCATTTTGTTGGTATATATTAAAAAAAAAAAAAAATAGTGGCTCTAATTAATTCTGAATTGGTTAAGCATCTCACATTGCAGGGTCTTCTGTTCAGATACGCAATATGGTTTTCACCTCTCTAGGTTAACTGCTGATATACTCTTTCAGCAATAATCGTTAACCTATCAAGCTTTAGATAAGAATGGTGAAGCTTAGGCCGTTAATTT